TCTCACACAGGAGGCCCAGGTGTGGGCAAAGCAGACCCCAGAAGAAACAGACTTAGATGGACTCAACTAAACCCACACTGGGAATAAATGTCATACATGTGTGTATACTGACTTAACGCTGCATAAGATTAAAGCACTTTGACAGCTTTTCCATCCTGACTTCTAGAACTTGGAAGCAAGGTTTTCACTTCAAAAGCCACCAAAATGTAACCTCCAATTTTCTATGGAAGTCTACAATTTAAAACACAAAATACTTATATCTATGATACAAATACATATATTTGTATGTATACACAAATACATATATTTTGATACTTACACATATTTATATGATACAAACAGGGATTTTTTAAAGTATGCTTCTTTATGACTAATATAACATGAATGGATAATCACAATTAAGCAACAAAAATAAGTTGATTAAGGAAGAATTTCTAATCTCTATCTGCCCCTTCCCAAAAATATCAATATCAAAATGTAATCGCAATTTGAATTACATCTAGTCATTAATGCGTTCCAAGATACACAAGTAAAACTTGAGTTTACATAATTTCAGCTTCCAGACAGCACGGAATAATTTCCAAAACAACCTACAAAACAGTTTATAAATGTAAATTTACTAACCTCCATCCCTACAATATAATGCACAAAACTAATGAAACTAGCCAAGGGTCAAAGAGACAAAAGATGAAGAAGCTGGAGTCGATGTTTCTCACGCAAGAGGCCTAACTGTGGCCAAGATAGATAAAAGAAACAGCCTTAGATCAATTAAATTAAACCCATACAATGAACAAATGATGTTACCTGCTTAAGAAACAGGTACCGATAGTCTCAAGCTTCATAAAGAAGCACCTATAGTTTTGGGGTTTTTTTGGGTTTTTTTTGCTTTTTGGGTCACACCCAGCAATGCTCAGGGGTTACTCCTGGCTCATGCACTCAGGAATTGCTCCTGGCGGTGCTCAGGGGACCATATGGGGTACTGGGAATAAAACCAGTGTCGGCCATGTTGGCTGCGTGCAAGGCAAACATCCTACCCGCTGTGTTATCGCTCCAGCCCCAGTTTTCGTTTTTTAAATAATATAAAGTGACCTTAAGCATCATGCAAAGATGGTTTTCTTTTCAAAAATGAAACTGGCCCTTTAGTGTTAATTAACAATACCTCATCATAGTTGACGTCTAAAGATGCACAACTAAAAATAATAATAAAATAAAGATGCAGAACTAAAAACTATGAGGGGTTGGACAGATAGTATGTGGGGTAAAGCACTTGCCTTGCCCATGACTGACCCAACATCCTGTATGGGTCCCCAAGCACCATGAGGAGTGATTCCTGAGTGCAGAACCAAAATAATTCCTGAGCATCACTGGTTGTGGGTCCTCCACCCGTTCCCCACCCCCCAAAAAAAAAACCAAAATTAAGAACTATTTGATAAGGTCAGATAGATAGCACAGTGAGCAGGGTGCTTGTCTTGCACGTGGTCAACCTGGATTCAATCCCCAGCACTACACATTGCCGCAAGCCGATCGGTGATGATTCCTGAGCACAGGGCCAGCAGTAAATCCTGAGCACCACTGGGGGTAGGTCAAAACCCACAAACTAAACAAAAGCCACTTGGTATCACAGCTGATATAAGTATAAGCCTGGAGCCTCGACCTCTCAGTTTCAACTCCAAAGTGATAGCACCTACTTGTTGGGCACAAAGTGAAAATCTCCGGGACGAAGAGATAGAGCAGTGGGTAATATGCACTGTCTATGGTCCCCTGGGGCTGGAGCGATAGCACAGCGGTAGCGCGTTCGCCTTACAAGCGGCCAACATGGCCGACCCGAGTTCGATTCCTCCGCCCCTCTCGGAGAGCCCAGCAAGCTACCGAGAGTATTCAATATGCCAGACACAGTAACAACAAAGTCTCCAATGGAGACGTTACTGGGCCCGCTCGAGTAAATCGAGTAAATGGTCCCCTGAGCACCATCAGAAATGAGCCCTGAGCACTGCCAGGGAAGAGAGAGAAAGTTGAGAGAATGATTTACAAAGAATACAGTGGAGGGACTGGAGTGAGAGCACAGCAGGTAGGGCATCTGCCTTGCACCAGCTGACCCGGTTTTGATCCTCAGCATCCCATATGGTCCCTCGAGCAGCACCAGGATTAATTCCTAAGTGTAGAACCAGGAGTAACCCCTGGGCATCGCCAGGTGTAACCCAAAAAGAAAAGAAAAAAATACTGGAGTAACTTCCTAGATTTATAAAAATCTAAGTACCACCTTATATATTTAAAAACAAACAAAAAAACCTGGAGTCAGAGGTATAGTACAGCAGGTAAGGCACTTCCCTTGCATAAAGCATAAGGCCAACCCAGGTTCTAGTATCCCAAATGGTTCCCCAAGCACTGCCAGAAATGATACTTGAGTATAGAGCCAGGAGTAAAAACTGAGCATTGTCAGGTATGGCCCAAAACAAAACAAAACAAATGAATAAGTGTTTATAAGATTTAGCTGCACTAAAAGAACTCCCCCTAAAATAAAACAAAACAAAACCAACCAGTGGGGCAATAGTAGTGTGGGTAGGGCCTTTCAAACTCAGGCTCAGTCCCTAGCATCCCATATGGTCCCACAAGCACTGCCAAGAGTAATTCCTAAGTGCAGAGCCAGGAGTAACACCTGAGCATTGCTGGGTGTGGCCCAAAGAGAGGAGGAAGAGGGAGGAAAGAAACAATACCTAGAACACTATTTCAAATAATCTATGAGATAACAGTAAGCTGAAACGTTATGAGATAGGTCTTGAGCTTTTGTTATTGTACAAGTCTTCAAATTAAAATCAGGGGCACAGAATGATAGTACAGCAAGTAGGGCACTTTCCTTGTATGTGGCCAACCAAAGTGTTCAGTTCCTGGCACTATATGTAGTTCCCTGAGCCCCACCAACAGTGATCCCTAACCACAGATCCAAGAGTAAACTCTGGACGCTGCTGGGTGTGGGCACCCCCCCCACCCAAAACAGAAGTAAATGTGCATGTTTAGAGGCAGAATAAGTTCTGTACAATTTGCTAGTTCTATAACCTTAATAAAGCAAGTTCTTTCAGCATCATGTCTATAGCTCCTTATCTATAAAATTGCAATGTCAATTCTTGGATTAGGATTAAATGGGCTGATAACTGTGAAGTGCTTAGAATAGTACAAGACAGATGGAAAAAGTTCATATCACTATTATCAGCCTTCCCATCTACATCTGTCGACCAAGAAATTTGCTAGAAAGGCGAGGTAAAGAGGGCTAGGGGGCTCTATTTAGTCTATTTTCTACGTCTGCATTTTTAATATAAATTTTGTAACCAGTGATATCAAGGTAAATGAGAAAGCAGTATTCAGCAGAATAACAAAGATTTAGTCTTCAGTTTTCAAAAACATGAGACAATACAAGCTTTGGAGTTTGATATTTATTTTTAGCAGGAAAATATGCTAATGTTGAAGACATCATTAGAAGATACGCCCATGTCCAATACCTGCAACAGAAGCTCAATAGAAGTTAAAGTAACCGTTCCAAAAGACTAGAGACAAAAAATTGCATGACATTACTTACCCTTAATTCTGCTAACAATAAAACAAAACATTAATATTAAAGTTCTGTCAGAAAAATCAAACACCTGACAACTGACTATAGAATTCCATCCTTTTCCTGCATGGAGGTGAGTAATCTCTAAAGCATCTTGAACTCAGCTGAAGGTGTCCACATGCACACAGGCGGACTCAACTGGAAAGGAGAAACGCTACACTAAGGGCGAAGAATCTGGGGCAGATGAGTTTGCTGGTGATACTTAATCAAACAGTTGCTCTCACAACAAAGAAAAGCAATTATCTTTGGTACAGCTAGACACTGCTGAAATAATAAATACTGAATGATAAAATCAACTCAATAGGAGCAGCAAAATAACATACCTACAAATTTACTAAGAGCTGTCTCTAACGAAAAAACCCAGGGGAATTAGAAATTCTCATATATCACTAGAGTAAGAAATTGCTAGAGCAGTAAACCTCTTCAACAAGAACTAGTCTAATGAAAGATCTTTTCAATAAGCTTTGGAGAGGCCCAGGAGTCAGTCCTGGTAATGCTCAGTCCAGCAGAACAGGCCGAATCGTTGAGTGCTCAGCTAGCAGTGTGGTGTTTGGAGCCACCAGGGCCACACCATTGGGGGGGGGGGGGGGGGGAGCATGGGTGGTGTCAGACAGTGCTAGTGATCAAACTCTGGGCCTCACACATGCTGGCCTTGAGAATCATCCTAGCCCCAAGGGCAAGACTTTTCAAAAGTAAACCTGGTTTATCGGTCCCTGATAATAGCAGAGATAAGAGAGGAAAGGAGAAAGGAGAGAAGGGGAGGGGAGGAGGGATGAGAAGAGAGAGGAAGAGAGGAAGAAAAGGGAGGGATGGGGGGAGAGAGAGAGAGAGATTGTGTTGTAACCATTGAAAGTCCTGATTTCTCATCAATTATCAATTACAATTATTTTCTGCTTAAGGATATACATGAGGGCCAAGACAGGAGGTGAGAACATGTTAAAACAGTCATGGAACAAAGAAATCATCTGAAGCTGACCTGGAGCAAAACTGATGGGGCAAGAAATCTCAAAGCTAACTAGCAAATTCTAAGGCTAAAAACTCTTTTACTTCTTAAATGTATACCTAAGAGACTATATACACTGAGGACAAGAATTAAATCTAACTATAGTTAACTGTAATTGACAAGAACTTTATACCAACAGCTATTTTCCTAATACTATTGTTTCTGAAGAGTTAAATTAATAAATTACTATTACTGGACTCTCAAGTGAATAATTTTAAAATTAAAAAACTTACCTGAGTCACAGCCTAAAAAGTGTCTGTGTCAAAAAGAAAAAAAAACCACAAAAACACAAAAAACAAACAAAAAACCTGCAAGATGTGCAGAAACATTAAGATCATTTAAAATTCCTAGCAAAAGATAAATTAAGCACTAGAGAAGGAAAAGGTTACGCACTTCCAATTTATGCTCTTTCTCAGCAAGGGCTTCCTTTTGACAGCGAAGAAAGTCTGCTAACATTCGAGTGAGTTGCTTCCTATCATCTATTTCAGCCGCCAATCTGCCATTATAATCTGCCAGCAACATACAAGCATCCTCTACCATTTTAGAAAGTCTTTCTCCAGATTCTTTGTCTAAGAAAAGCACAGGACAGCAAGACCATCAAACAACAACCAAAAAAAATTTAAGAACTAACACCCACCTCCCCCTAAATTCCAAGTTCCATTTTCTTCCCTTACCTGTAATTTTATCTAGCAGGGAAACTTCTTGGACTTCCACAGGCAAAGAAGCTATCCTCTGATGAACCGCCGCATCCCCTGACGCTGCATTCTCTAGGTCTTGTAATGCTCTAACGAGATCTAGAGTCTAAAACATTACACAACTTCAGAATGAAAGTAAACGAAGATTTAATTACCCAAAAAAAATCCTGAAATTTATTTCAGACCCTTAATCCTTATGGGTTATTTATTAGCCCTAAGTTTCAAACAAACTTTTGCATACAATCTATATAGTAATAAAGAACACTCTTAGAAATCACATAATCCTTGTCCTTAAGGAGTTCAAACTACCTGGGGGAGATAGATAATGTACAAAACAGATATCTGAATATTGAAAAAGACATGTCTGATTTATACACCACCATCATTTCTCAGTCTTTTGGCTAAGATCAAGTATGACTTACATGCTAAATAGTTATAGTAAAGGAAAGACAGGAATATATGAATACATCATACATTTTGTGTACGAGATATTCATTACATTAGTGTATATGAAAAAAATTTAAGTATTAAATTGGATAATGGGGAAAGGGGAATACCAATCACAACAAAGAGTCCACCGGAATCCATTTCTTTTTTTTTTCCTTTTTGGGTCACACCTGGCGATGTACAGGGGTTACTCCTGGCTCTGCACTCAGGAGTTACTCCTGGCGGTGCTCAGGGAATGCTATGGGATGCTGGGAATTGAACTCAGGTCGGCTGCGTGCAAGGCAAATGCCCTACCCGCTGTGCCATCTCTCCAGCCCCCGAGAATCCATTTCTTTTTTAAAAAAATTTTTTAGGTGGGAGCGATGCTGAGACCATTGGTGGTGGTGGAAAATGGGCACTGGTGGAGGGATGGGTACTAGACCACTGTATGACTGAAATGCAAGCACAAAAGTTTGGAAGTCTATAACTGTACCCCACGGTGACTCACTAATAAAATTTTTTAAAAATATATTTATTTTCATTTTCTTTAATTTTGGGGTCATACCTGGCTTACTCCTAGCTCTGCACCCAAGGATCAGTCCTGGTGGACTCAATATAAGGGTACAATATAAGGTACCTGGAATTGAACCCAGGTCAGGCCAAGGAAGTGCCCAACCACTTTATTATCGCTCCAGACCCCAAAATTCATTCCTCATGTAACTAAAGCACAAGGAAACTGAAGGGTTTGTTTATTTACTTATTTATTTATTTATTTTTGCTTTTTTGGGTCACACCCAGTGATGCACAGGGGTTACTCCTGGCTCTGCACTCAGGAGTTACTCCTGGCGGTGCTCAGGGGACCATATGGGATGCTGGGAATCGAACCGGGTCGGCCGCGTTCAAGGCGAACGCCCTACCCACTGTGCTATTTCTCCAGCCCCCAAAAATGACGGTTTTAAAGTAGGTTCAAGGTCAGACTAATAGTACAGCAAGTAGAGCATTTGCATTACATGCGCCCAACCCAGGTTCGATCCCTAGCACCCCATATGGTCCTCCAAGCCCAGTCCACCACAAATGACTGTAAGCTCTGAGCACCGACAAGTGTGCATCCCCCTACCCCCCAAAACACTTTTTTCTTGGCAAAACATATTTCCTGATATGCAATTACTACTTTGTTTTGTTGTTTGTTTGCTTTGCTTTCGGGCCACATCCAGTGGTGCTCAGGGGACCATATGGGATGCCAGAATAAAGGCAGGTCAGCCTTTATTTTGGCATGTAAGCCAAAAGTCCCACCAACTGTACCACTGGTCTGGCCCCATACTTTAACCAGAAAATAGATATTCACATAGTTTCTGTCTTGTACCTACAGAAACACTAAAATTAATAAAGTATGGAGGCCACCAGCCAGCCCAGGTCAAATCTGTAACTTCGATCTTTTAACAGAAAAACACTTCTACCTGAGGTGGCTCACTTGGTGATCCCAAAGAGGAACAGTTTTCATTTTCATCTACTTTTATCTGTTCATAAGTTCGCTTCCTAGGTTTTTTGTCACCATCTGAAAAGAGAGAACATTTAAAATTTCAATGAAAGAATGTTTTAACAAGGAGATCACAATATAAGATGATATGTACTTACATAGAGCTAGCTTAAGTTGATCTAATACATCATTTTCATAAACAGATCTTTCTTCCCAAATAGATAACACTCGTCCAAGATGCTTCTTACAACTTTCATCCGTTTCACTAAAAAAAATATTAACAATAGTATTGAAAAATTAAGAGTGAATTTACCTAAAAAAAATATTAACAATAGTATTGAAAAATTAAGAGTGAATTTAAATACCATAAGATACTGATTCCCTGAGGGGGGGAAAAAACCTGTCCAACCATTTACTGAGCACCACTAAGTGATGAAGAGGGGTGAAGTGATCATGGCAGACATATTCTCATTATTATTCAACTTAAAAGTAAATGATAAAAAAGAGATCTAATCTAATGAGGGTTGAATCTGAGGCTACTGAATATTTCTAGTACGTGAGATTTACAATGTAACAAATATTAATTGATCAAGGTAGTATATTTGACACTGAAGATGCAAATGAAGACTTATGGTAGCTGTCACCTTAAACTGCCACAGAAAGAGAACATAAAGATGCATAACAGAGAACTCTTGATCTTAAGAAATATGAAGGAGAACTTAATCTTATACTAAATCCCTCCCCAGCTGGGGAAAGGAACTTGGTATTAAGACAAAAGGAACTTTCCTTTTCTAGGAAAAGTTGCTTTTCCTAGAAACAACTCTTCTTTTCCTTCTATTTTCCAATAAACCTTTCTATATAAAAAATAATAATAATAAAATAGTAACAACATAAAAGGGGGCTAGAAGAGATAGACCAATGGGTTAGAGCACATGCTTTTCACATACCATATGGTTCCCCAAATACTGCTTGAAGCGCCTCAGAGCAGCAATGGGAGTAGCCCCTAAACACTACTGGGTGGAGCCCAAATGGAGGATGATAGGATGACACGATGGACAACAACACTGTCTGCTGATCTTAAAATAGACCTAGCACATCGTGATTTCGTTTCTGTAAAGCATTTGCTCTTAGAATACCTTCCTCCTAGTCAAATGGTTTTATCAGTTTTTAAAATCTGTTCAAATGTCACTGCCCAATTCTTCATTATTATTCATGAATTATCTTCATTTCATTTTATATTTGATCACTCACACTATTTTTCATAGTACTTCGAGATTAAAATGTTTCCACTAGTCGACTACTACTATCATTCTAATAATCAGATTAATTTGCTCAAATGTAAACCCCATTAATATACAACTTTGTCTTTGTCTACTTCTGTACTCCTGGGGTTTAGCATAGAGTAGTCAGTCAATTAAAAAAATTTTTTTAGAGGCCAGAATGACAGAACAGTGGGTAAGGTGTTTGCCTTACACGTGACTGACTGGAGTTTGACCCTTGGCACCCCATATGGTACCCCGAGCACCACCAGGAGTAATCCCTAAGTGCAGAGCTAGGAGCAAGACCCAAGCACTACCAGTTGTGGCCCCAAAAAAGTTTTTTTTAAAAATTGAATTGTAGTGAGATGGAATATTTATAAAAAGTCTTAAGATAGGGGACAAGAGAAATAGTACAAGGGTTAAGGCACTTGCCTTGCACCCCAACCCCCCATCGCCATTTGACTCTCAATGGTACCCTGAGCACAGGCAGAGATGATGGCTCCTCGCTCAGAGTTAAGTCACTTTCTGAAAATAATCTTAACACAGAATAATTAAAAGGTCAAGTTAATTTAAGTTGTAGACTACAAGTGTAGAACAAATGTAATGCAGGAGGGGCATATGCTGCCTGAGCCCATGTGCTGCTTGTGCCCATGTGGCCGAGCACATGTGGTGCTTGAGCACATGTGGCGCCCAACTCTACTCTCTTGAGATGTGGACTTTCACGTCTAATGCTGGGGTGTGTGTAAGGGCTTCTCAGCCTTTAGAGACGCTCAAGCTCTCTCTCCCACTTTTTGTCCTTCCTTTCCCTTCCTAAAAAGTTACTTTAAAAAAAAAAAGTAATGCAGGAGTTTGAAGAGTTAAGACAAAGCTATAAAGGAAGTTTTGCAATTACGTTTTACTCTGGACTGGAAGATTCTTGATCTCAAGAGTAAATGAATTTGATTATTGTATAACTGAAACCCAAGCACAAAATTTGTAAGTCTACAACTGTACCTCATGGTGTCTCACTAATAAAAATTAAAAAAAAAAAAGAGTAAATGAGAACTATTCCAAAACGCATACTACAGCACCTCAGCTGTGGCCGCATTTTCCCTTAACGGGTTGAATAGTAGTCAAGACTACTGTGATTATACAGAACTGACACTGCCGTAAATAGAATGGAAAGAAAATTAATGAGTTCAAAGCAGTGGTAGAGAAAGGAGCTGAAAAGAGTACTAGATTTCTTGTGTGGACATCTAATTAGATGGAACTGTCATTCACTGAGAGCAAATGTGGAAGAAGAGCGTAAGATTGAGCTATTGACGGTATAGATCTACTGCAATTAAAATTGTAGTACATCTGATGTATTTTCATTTTTAAATTCTTTAGCACAAATCCTTCACTTCTTAATTCTAAAATATAAATTGATTTAAGTCTACCCAACAATCTACCAGACATTTTTAAGCAGTTTTAATAGTGTAACCTAGTATCTACCAAATATGTACAAGTAACCTGCAGGAAAAAGTATTTAAAAAGGATATACATTGGGACCAGAGAGATAGTACAGCAAGTAGGGCATTTGCCTGGAATGCAGCTCACCTGGATTTGATCCCCAACATCCCATCTAGTCCTCTGAGCATTATCAGGAATAATTCCTGAGCCAGAGTAACTGCTGAGCACTGCTGTGTGTGGCCCCCAAACAAAAACAAACAAAAAAAGGTACAAGCCAAAAAGTACAAAAGATTTTGGGGCTGGAGAGATAGCACAGCAGGTAGGGCATTTGCCTTGCATGTGGCCGACCCGAGTTCGATTCCCAGCATCCCATATGGTTCCCTGAACACTGCCAGGAGTAACCCCTGTGCATTGCTGGGTGTGACCCAGGAAGCAAAAAAAAAAAAAAAAAAAAAAAAGTACAAAAAATTTTACCCTCACAATTTTTCTGCAGCAAAATTTTAACAGATCTATGATAATTTTAAATAAATATCTATATTTACAGAGCAGTTAAAATGCTCATTAGAAAACCTTAAAATCATTAGAAGTATTAAAAGGGAAATAGGTACTTAATTCTTCCTGAAACTGTAGTTGAAAGATAGTTTCTTAAGCACACAATATTTTAGTTTAATACATTCATTCTTGATGGCTTATTTCAATACACCAGTTGCCTTTCATTTCTTAAGGTTCTGGTTATGTTACTCCAAAAATCCATATTAGAATCAGCTCAAAAATATTTTCCTCATGAGGTATTTAACACATTTACAGATGATATTTTCTAGATCTTTTTAAATTAAAATTTCAAATATGTTCCTTTTTTTAATGATTTAAAGCAAGTCCTGAGCAAAAATGACACACCATACATTTAAAACAAATTACCAAGTACTCAAAACAACTATCATACCTTGAAACATGCTTAAAAGCCTCCACTATAACTGGTGCAAAGTCTTTTGTAAACTCCGGTCCCTTCCTTTTGCTGTTCTGAATGACGTCATTGGCTAGGTAAAGAAAAGTGAGTTTCCTGTTTGGTTTGGCTGGAAAAGAAAAATCAGAAGAAAATTAGAAAATTAAAATATCCTCAACTGGAAACGAGAGAGAGTGCCTTGCACGCACCCATTCCCAGCATCGTATAATGTCACTCTCTGCTCCTCCCCCTCAGTCAGGTCCCCCAGCACAGCAGGAGAGATTCCCCAGTACAGAACCAAGAGCACCCCCTGAATACTGCCACATGTTAACTCAAAAACTTAAAAAAGAAAAAATCCTCAATTAAAAAGACAGATTTTTTCAGTACCTGAGCAGCTGAGGACTCTAATAAATCCACCAAGCTTTATTTTCAATGGTAGCATTTCATTCTATTCACCAATTCAATCCCCAGCACTACCAGGGTGATGCCAGCAGCACCCACATCCTTGAGCCCTCAAACTAAAACACTGGTCTGAATGTGCAAGAATGGGGGGGATGTCTGGGCACCTTACGCACTGCTTGGGAGAGCACCCCAAGAAAGAGAGAATATATTTTTAAATATATATATTTACATATATAAATATTAAATTTATAATAGTTTTAATCAATACCCATGAAAAATCAGTAATCAATTTTTTGTAAAACTAGAGTTCCAGTGTTAGAGAAATAGTATAGCAGGTAGGGCGCTTGCCTTGCACATGGCTGACCATGGTTCTATCTCTGGAACCCTATACAGTCACCCAAGCTCGCTAGGAGTAATTCCTGAGCACAGAGCCAGCAGTAATCCCTGAGTATTGCTGGGTGTGGCTCCCCCCCAAAAAAGTCAAAGTTCCAAAATGCAAAATAAATTTATATAAGCTTAATCAACCATATGGGGGACCATATGTATTTTTTGCTTATGAGATGAATTATCTGTTAAGTTACAGAGCAAGTTAAGGAAAACGATGGTTAAAGTCCAAACATCTGGGCTGGAGCAATAGCACAGCGAGTAGCGTTTGCCTTCCACGTGGCCAAACCGGGTTTGATTCCCAGCATCCCATATGGTCCGCCGAGCTCCACCAGGATTCCTGAGTGTAGAGTCAGGAGTAATCCCTGAGCATCGCAGAGTGTGACCCCACCCCCACAAAAAAAAAGGTTCAAATATCACCTCCCCCAACACACAAACATACACACACACACACACACTCTCTACACTCTTATTGGATTATATAGCCTTAAATAATTGGATTTAGCTTGACAAAGACATGCCCCTAACTCACTACACTCTTATGCAAAGTCATGGGTCATGGGGGAAGAAGGGAAAGGAGGAAGCACACTAGGGGATAAGGATCAAAGACAGATTCCCAGCATCCCTTCAATGCAGCTGTGATCCCCAGCAGCACAAGTGTCCAAACCCTGGGGCACTGCAACCAAGTCTGTATATGCACAGTAACAATTATACAGCCCCCTCGCCCCCCAAACATTGCAACAAAGAGGAAAGGGGAAGAAAAAACATGGGGTGGGAGGGAGTGTTTACAGCGGGTGGGAGGGGGTGTTTACAGCTCAGAGTGGTAGCATGCATGGTTTTCATTCTTTAGGTAAGCCCTGTGTTCAATTACCAGAACCCAAAAAGATTAAGATTTCATCTGGTTTTTATTTTGGGACCACACCTAGCAATGTTCCCGGGCTTACTCTTGGCTTATACTCAGAGATCACTCTTGGCAAAGCTCAGGGACAATATGGGGTGCCAGGGATGGAAGTCAGGTCAGACATGTGCAAGGCAAGCACCCTACCCATTTTCCTAGACAAAGAATACTACTTAGGGTGGTATCAGTGTGAAAACTACCTCTCCAACCTATATAACCATGTCTTCTACTCTTCTATTCACCAAAGAGGTAAATTAGGCTGTCTAGCACTTGTTAATACATTACTGCTTCATTTGTAGCATTGCTCTGGCCCCAACAGACTAAGATTTCAACTCAGGTGACTTACTGCAGGACGTTTCAGTCTGATTGAATCATACAGGGTGTGTGTGTGTGTGTGTGTGTGTGTGTGTGTGTGTGTATTTAAACAGACTGAAATTTAAAAGAGCACATAGATCACAGTAACGATAAATATGAAAAACAGCAAAAGCTATATTGATATAACTTACATCATAGGAACACTGGGGTCAGAACGACAATACGGCGGGAAGGGCATTTGCCTTGTACAAGGCTGACCTGGATTTGATCCCTGGCATCCAATATGGTCCCCCTAAGCACCACCAGGAGTAATTACTGAGCACAGAAGTAGGAGTAATCTCTGGGCATTGTAGGTATGGTCCCCCCAAAAAAACAAGAAACAGAAACCACCCCCCCAAAAAAACACCATTTTGGGGGCTGCAGACCTAAAACAGCAGGGAAGCCACTTGGCAGCTAGCCTGATTTTGAGCCCCAGGGGCCTTATCATACCCTGAACCCTGTTAAAAGTGACCCCTTAGCACAGTGTCAGGGAGGATACCCTGAACATTGCAGGTATGATCCATCCAACTCCCACCTCACTCCACAAAATAACTTTTTTCCCAGAAGAAATCTCTCTACATTCAAGAAAAATGAACATAAATATATAAGCATATACATACATAATATTACATACAAGAGTGAATAGGAAGGCCTTGTAAAGAAAGAAATAAACAGTCATCCTGAAACAATAATGTATTAACAATTGCTAGACAGCTTAATTTACCTCTTTAATAAATCTCTTTAATAAATCTTAAATAAATCTCTTTAATAAAAAGTAGAAGACATGTTTATGTAAGCGGAGAGGGAGTTTTCAGGCGGATACTACACTTAGTAATATTCTGTGTCTGAGAAAATGAATAATCAACTACAGTTCTTGAATGGGTTCAATCTGTTCCAGACAGCAGAGAATCCAACCAGACATAGCCGGCTCCCTCTTAGCAGCAGGTGTGGGAGCTGGCATGCACTATTCTACTGTCAGGCTCTCTCACGCTGGCCCTCCAGACTCCTGTCAGAGGCTCATGCTACTGGCTGTCTAGCCCTCGAGATTTCTGGTTTCAGATTTCAAATTACCCACCAGGCATTGATTCCGTCACTTCTAGCTTAAATTCCTTACATTATTTCACACTATTTTCCACATAATATACTGAATGTTTAAAATGACCCAAAGACCCCCAAGGTCTCTAGCCTCCATACTCGTCCCTTCATTACCACTCCAGTTCATTCTTCAGAGCAGCGATTCTCACTGATGCTGCTTTCCTACCTAGCTTATTTCCTGCGGTGCCTCTCTCCTACTGGCTGGCCCTGTGTCATGTGGGAACACTAGGCATGCAACATGCACCCCCCTCCCCCCCCCCGCAGCCCAAGAAGTACCACTTAACAATGACTCCTTCACCAGTGTCCACTGCCCTCCACCAATGCCCCCCACCCACCAGTCTGCTTCTGGTGAGGATTACCTTTTTTTTGGGGGGGGGTGGGCTGGAGCGATAGCACAGTGGTAGGGCATTTGCCTTGCGCGCAGCCAGCCCGGCCGAGTCAGGTTCGATTCTTCCGCCCCTCTCAGAGAGCCCGGCAAGCTACAGAGAGCAACTCGCCCAGCAAAGCTTGGCAAGCTCCCCATGACGTATTTGATATGCCAAACACAGTAACAAGTCTCACAATGGAGGCGTTACTGGGCCCGCTTGAGCAAATCGATGAACAACAGGAGGACAGTGTTTGACAGTTTTTCTTTTTGGGTCATACCTGGCGATGCACAGGGGTTACTCCTGGCTCTGCACTCAGAAATTACCCCCGGCGGTACTCAGGGGACCATATGGGATGCTGGGAATCAAACCCGGGTCAGCCGCATGCAAGGCAAACACTGTACCTGCTGTGCTTCTGCTCCAGCCCGGGACTGCCTTTTTTAAAAAGACGTTTTTGCACTGTGATTTACTGTACTGCTGCTGATAGGGCTTCATATTTAACATTTACCACCTTTCAGCACACTTCCTCCTCCCAGTTTATCTGGCCCCCACCAGACATAGCACCCTCAAGTGGTATATTTTTTATTGAGTAACAGTTATCTTGTTCCTTGGAGAAATACTGGAAAACCTCTATTAGTACATTCCTCTTTGTTTTCTAACAACCTATTCCACAAAACTTACAAAACCCCACAGTGTCTCAGAGTATACTACATTTTTCCTATACTACTACGGAGCGCTAATCCCAGCACTTACTCCAGTTATAACTGCTTACTTCTGGTGCTGCTTGGGGGACCATATGCAGTGCTGGGAATTGAGTCAGGAGTGTTAACCTGAGCGCAGGGCCAAGAGTATGCCCTGAGCAGCCAGCATGGCCCCAGAACAAACAAACAAAAATTACTGAATAGTCTATCCCTTCTTCCATAAATTTTAAGTTTAAATTAAATAATTCCCATACACAATTGAGTCTCCTGATAACTATTCTTTTTCTCACATACATTCTATCCCTGTGCCATTATTTTACTCTCCTAATTTCAAAGTATTTACAGTCTACATAAATATCTAAAAGGTCACACTACCACTATCATTGCTTTCCTTATCCAACAATTTCAAAAAATCATTGAAATTTACAAGATAAAAATTTTTCTTCCTGAGGCTGGAGACACACTACAAGGGCTAAGATGCTTGTCTAGCACAAAGTCAACTCCAGTTCAATACCTGGCACCACATACGGTTCCCTGAGCATCAACAGTCCAAGAGAGATTCCGGAGTATTGAGCAAGGGGTAAAGACACCACTGGGTGTGGTCAAAAAACAAATTCCTTACAAATTGTTCTCAATTTATAGACTTGGGGATAAGTATCCTTTACAGTTATTAACTTTATATTCAACTGTACTGTGTGTATAAGGGGTGGGATCTGGGTCACACGCAGTAGTGCTCAGGGGTTACTCCCAGCTCTGTGGTGGAGTGGGCTGGAGTCACTCCCTGTGGTTCACAAGGCCCCATGCATTGCTGGAGATTGAACTTGGGTCTCCTGCTTGCAAAGCCTGTACACCAGTTCTCTGAGCTCTCTCCTGCCCCACAAAATATATATTTTAGGTCAGTGAAAAGTTAGTGCACAACAGTTACACTAAA